CTTGAACTAATAGGCACAGGAAGGAACTTCCTGAACAGAGTCCCAGGGTCACAACAAGTTGGAGAGAGACTCGACAAATGGGACTACCTTAAAATGAGAACACAGCAGATTCCCATCAGCTCTGAATAGCAAATTAATACTTTGATAATCATCCATCATCATGGCCCTTTTACTCCTATGATAAACAACAGTGATAACAACAGGTATCTCTATAGTGCTAACCAGATGCTAGACACTATGTGTACATTCTCTCCCTTACAAATCCACACACTCCTTACAACAACCCTGTAGCACAAGTACCATATTGTTACCATTTTACAGATGAAGAAAACAGAACTGCTGAAGAAAGATTAAATAACTTGTCCAGTCTGGTGAGTGGTGGAGCTAGAATTTGTACTCAGCACTCTGGATCCGAGTCTAGGCTCTTTAGACACGCTGCCTGGGCAGGCAAAGAGTGAGTAGAAGTTCTGATGGTTGGAAGATGAGGATGAATGGAAGTATAGAGAACAGGAAATCAATACTTGCGAAAGCATGTCAGGTGTGAGGATGGGGTAGAGGACAGGTAGGTATGTCTGAGATTAAAAATGGGAGACGTGAAGTGAATCCAGGGAAGGCACAGGTGGAACGGGGGTGGGGGGGTCCTGTGGAGGCCAGACCATGTAGGACTATGCAGGTCAGGTCAGAAACTGAAAAAGAACAGGAAATCATGGGAGGAGGTATGCAGTGAGGGAGAGGGCGCAGCAGTCTGAATGCCACTTTGGCATACAAGGTGAAATGCAGGGAGCCACGTGACAGCCAGGTGACTGTGCTGTTGGGGGAAGTGTTCAAATCACACAGGGCAGAGGGAAGGATTGAACTTGGGAGAGGGAGTCTCAAAAGGAGCTCCATGGGTGATTCCTAGGCTTCTAGTTTGTAGAAACAACTAAGGAGGCTTGTAATGAAAGTAATTTGCTAAAGCCTGGAGATGTGGAATACAAGGAATATATGGGATCCGGGGAGGTGTCCAGAAGGATACTGAAGGAAGGGCTCAGAGATAAATTCTGGAGATACACCTGGCAGTTTAAGCCACAGGATACAGAAGATCCCACAAACAGGCTCTAGAAGAAGAGACACTGGAGGACATGACATTGTAAAAGACGAGCAAAGGAGATGCTGAGAGGCAGAAGGAAAACCAGCACAGTGATGTCAGAAGCCAGTGAGAGGATGGGTTTAAGAAAGCAATGAAGTCCAATGCTTCTGAGAACCAAGAACACTCAGGTTGAAACAACCATTACATCAGGAGACATGGTGACAGCTTCCAGACGGACGAGAGGGCAAGAGTGAAGTGAGGAATGAGGATGGGGTATGGGAATGAAGAAAGAGTGCACACAACTCAGAAAGAGGGAAGCATGAGAGAACGGAGGATCAAGAGAAGGGTCAGCAGATTTCTGAGTGCCAAGCACCAGTGGTTCACACCTGTCATCCTAGCTACTCAGGAGGCTGCGATCTGAGAACCACAGTTCAAAGCCAGCCTGGGTACACAAATCCTTCAGACTCTTATCTCCAATTAACCAGCAAAACAACCACAACTGGAGACATGGCTCTAGCAGATGGTGCCAGTCATGAGCAAAAAAGCCAAGTGAGAACTTGAGTCCCTGAGTTCAAGTCCCAGGGCCAGCATGAGAATGACCATGTTTAAAATGTTGATTCCAAGACCAGAGCTGGGAGAAAGGAGATGAATACAGAGGGGAAAAGCCGTAACTATGAAGCTTCTATGATGTAGAGAGAGAAAAGATCAAAAGCTTGAAGAGCTGTGAGAAGATAGTCTTTTACCAGGAGGGCAGGAAGCTACAGGGTGAGTGGCTATAGATAGGTTTGTACCTTGGACAGTGAGAAAACTGTGAAGTTCCCATCTGATGGCTCCCACCTTGTTTAAGACACAGAGCTGCACAGGGAGAATGAAAGAGGAGGTGTGGGGTGAGGGGGAAAGGGTAGTGTCAGAGTTCTGAGCAGACCAGAAGGTCTAAGCTGTAAAGGTGGTAAAAGTGAAACCCTGAAACAGATTGCTAGGTGGAACTGAGGGCTCATTTCAGAATACTGGGAGTCAAGACATGCAGAGGTGTCAAACGATTACAGTGCCTGCCTGTGGGTTCAGGCAGGGCGGACAACTGTGAGGAGCATCCAGCTGGGTTTGGCTAAGAGAGATCCCACACGAACTCCAAAGGACAAGTGGACTTAAGGTTCAAACCTGCTCAATACGGACCAGCCACCTAAGCTACAAGAAGAAAAGAGAGAAAAAAAGGGACTTGGGGAGAGTAACAGGGACAGAGGAAAAGAGAGAACAAGCTACTGACTGAAAAAGGTGGATAGAGAACAGAATATGCGAACTTAACCCATTAATTCCATCAAACCCCATTAGAAGGAGACACAAGTAGTTCACGCTCATGTTAACTCTTCAGAAGAATGAGATCCAGAGGACTGCAGTTTGAAGCTAGCCTGGCAAAGAGTTTGCCAGACTCCATCTCCAAAATAGCAAGCTGAGTAAGAGCTCAAGGCTCCAGTTCAAACCCTAGTACCTAAAAATCGACCAATCAATCAATCACTCATTAGCAATTGTGTAGACGTTAAGTCAAAGCCCAGCACAACAAGTACCAGGAAACAGGTGCCATCAAGAGGGGACGGGGCGGGGAGGGGGTGGGAAGGGGAGAGGGGCAGAAGAAGGGGGAAGAGTTGGGAATGCAGGCAAGAATTCATACCACAGAACTGAGACATACTAAGGCAAAGGGTGTGTGAAGATGTTGACGTGACACACACCGAGATGCAGTGTACACATAAACTGCTTTGTTAAATTGCAAAAGATTCAATATATAACCTAGAATTAAGGTATGTAAGGGAAGGGGTGGCATGGAGGGTTGGGTAGAATGCTGAAAGGGGTGACATTAAGAAGCATAAACTGCTCTGTACAGCTATCTAAAATAATAAAAACACTTTTAAAAAAGGGAGCAGAGAATGACTATGGCCCTAATGCAAGACACGATGCCATCTACTGTTGGCCAGAAACCATCGGAATGGCAAGTTAAAGGACTCATTAGATAGCTTGAACCAGATCGCTCATTATTAATACATTAAGGAAATGTGTGAAAAGATTACGAGCCAAGGAGACAAATACACAGAACACCCTACCTGGCTGGAGACTCCTCCTCCAGGGCGCCCAGGGTCTCCTCCTCCACCGGGGCCTCTTCCTTTGGGGCCGTTAACTCCACGCCACTGAAAAACAGCAAAAGCCTCTGCAGTCATATGAATGCGTTTACACCAATGCTTTTACAAACATAAGATTGCACAAATTTTAATGACCATGTCTTCCTTTTCTAAAAGAAGCAGTATTAGGGTTTGAACTTAAGAGCACTGCATTGAAGCAAGATTCTCCTACTTTGCTTCCTGCATAGCTGAGATTACAGATGTGTACAGCTGTGGCTTGTTGATATTTAGTCTTTTTCCCCAGAGAGCCTCAAACCACGGTTCTCCCAAGTCACCAGATTACACGTGGGAGTCACTGAGCTCAGCTTTAGTGTCCTATTTCTTAAGTGCCTCGATCCTGAGTTCAAGCACCATGATTAGCAGGAGAGACAGAGAGAGAGGGAAAGAGAGTGAGCATGCCATATATATATATAGAGAGAGAGACAGAGACAGAGAGAGAGGAGGGGGGAAGTGGGGGAGAGAGCGAGCATGCACGCCAGTCCTAGGACTTGAACTCAGGGCCTATGCATTGCTACTGAGCTGCTTTTGCTCAAGGCTAGCACTCTATCAATTGAGCCACAGCACCACTTCTGGCTTTTTCTGTGTATGTGGTACTAAGGAATCCAACACAGGGCTTCAAGCGTGCTAGGCAAGCGCTCTACCACTGAACCACCTTCCCGGCCTCAATCATAAATATTCTTAAACTACAAGTATTAAAAATAAGACTATGTTGGGTCTGGCACCAGTGTGTGGCCGCAGTCGAAGACCAAGAAAACGCTGGTGCAGTGTGCACACCTGCCACATGAGCTGCACAGACATGGGAGCTCTTACTTGGCGGACTGTGGTCAGGCTAGCCTGGGCAAAAATAATGAAAAAGGTCTGGGGGCATGACTCAATTGATGGAGACTCTGCGTGCCGAGGGCAAGGGCCCTGAGTTCAAACCTAGTACTCCCAAAGGAAGAAAAAGACTGTCCGAACAAACTCAGAAAATGGCAATAAGGTAGAGATAAATTTTACAAAAAGGATCACATATGATTATAAATAAGCTGGTAATAACTAATCCAGCAAACAAGACTTTGAATTAATTTATATCCTATTTTGTTAATATACCATCTACAGACTGGAAATGACAGCATTACGAAATTTTAAATTTTAATTCACATGACCTCTTTCTTTTCCTTTCTGTATTGCCACGAATACTATTTGAATATTACATTTTATGAAGCCCCAGAAAAAGAAATATTACTTTTAGTAAACAGTTAAAATCCAATTGCAGAAAAAGATGTGTGGCTCCAGTGACACAGTGCTCACTTAGTCTATCTAGCAAGCCAAGTTCAGTTCCCAGCACTGCTGGAAAAAAACTAGTCACATACGGAATCCAGCATTTTTTTCATCCTGGTTCAGAAAAAAAGTTTTCAATGCTGGCTTTTTAAGGTTTTAAAGTACATATAAATTAAACTGTTCTAAGCATGTAGAAACTGCAATCAGTTTTAAAAGGCCCTTACAATTAAAGGAGGTACTCTAAGGAAGGGACCCAAGGTGCTATAAAGTAATATTTATCAACATGAGTGCCAGGAAATGGCAACACGTTTTTAATATTTTTCCCCACTGTTGATGAAGATGGTGGTGTTTTTTGCTTTTTGGTCTTTGTTTCTTGTTTTTTGTCTTGTTTGTTCCTTTAACTGTCTTTGGGGGGTAAGAGGAGGCAAAGAAGTGGAAGAACAAAGGGTGAACAAATGTAGCAGTGATACTCAGTAGACACTATCAGGAAAATGAACTGTACAACTATACAATTTGTAGGTAGAGATGGGAGAGGGAAATGGAGAGATCAAAGGAAGGGTTGAAATTGCCCCCAAAGAAATATACTTATTACCTGCTTATGAAATGGTGACCCCTCTGTACATCTCTTTAATAATTAATAACAGGGGCTGGGAAGGTGGCTCAGTGGTAGAGCGCTTGCCTTGCATGCATGAGGCCCTGGGTTCGATTCCTCAGCACCACATAAGCAGAAAAAGTTGGAAGTGATGCTGTGGCTCAAGTGGTAGAGCGCTAGCCTTGAGCTGAAGAGCTGAAGGACAGCACCTAGACCAAGGGTTCAGGCCCCATGACTGACAAAACATACAAACAAACTTTTTTAAACCTTAGTTTCTTTTTGCCATGAAATTTGATTAACTTCTACTTTGGCTTTGCTTTTTCTCTTTTGTACAGCTTCTGAGTCTTGAGCTCAGGGTCTCTCTCTCTCTCTCTCTCTCTCTCTCTCTCCCCTCTGTCAGCTTTTTCTCTCAAGGCTGGCACTCTACCACTGGAGGTACACCTTCACTTCCAGCTTTTTTTTTTTTTTAACTGCTTAACTAGAGATTAGAATATCTATCTCAGGTTCATCTTCCTGAGCTGGTTTCAAGCTTTAATTCTCAGATCTCAACCTCCTGAGTAGCTAGGACTATAGCTGTAAGCAGCAAGTCTCTGGCATTTAAAAAAACATCATAGTTATACAAGGGGAGATTTTGTTGTGACATTTCCACACAATGTTATCCTTCTCCCTCTTCTCAAAACAATTTCAACAGGTTTCAGTTTTATTTTGACAAAAGTCTACTTTAACCATATTCACTTTCTCCTTATTTAGCCCAACCCCCTTACTAGTACTCTGCCCCAGCCCTCTCTCCCCCAACTTGCTATTGACCAACAGCTTTCATGTTTACTCACTCTCTTTTGCCCTTCCCCTTCTCCTCTAAGCAGTCCCGTAGACTCAAATTGTATACTTGCCTATATATATAAAGGTACAATCACGTCTATGAATATGTATGTTTTTTAGGCCTAGCTTCTATATAGGAGAAAAAACATTATTTTTTTAGCTTAGCTCATTATGATGTCCTCTAATTACATCCACTTTTCTGAAAACGACATGATTTCATTTTCCTTCATGGCTGTATAACATTCCATGGTACATCTATACCATTTCTTCTTTATCCATTCAAGAAGATTCCAGGTGTCTGATTCCATCATTTGGCTATTGTGCAGAGTGCTGTAATAAACATGAGTTATGCTGGCATCTTTCTGATATATTGATTTATTCTACTGACATATGCCTCATATTGGTATAGGGGAGTCTTTGGAAGGGTCTATGTTTTGGACTGATATCCATATGGTTACACTAGTTTACATTCCCACCAAAAGATATAAAGATTCCTTTTTAATTCATCTGCCAGCATTTCTTGGTGGCTGTCATTCCGACTGAAGTAGATGGACTCTTACTGCAGGTTTAATTTGCATGTTCTTTATTATAGCTAAGGCTGTTGAACATTTCCTCATGACTTCATTAGCCATCTCTTTCTTCTTCTGAAAACCATGTAATTAGATTATTTGTGGGGTTTTTGCTAATTTCAGTCCCTTGTATAGTATGGATATCAATCCTTTATTTGTTGACTAGCTGGCAAAGATTTTTCTTTCATTCCTTGGGCTGTCTTTTGATTCTGGTGATCGCTTCTTTTGCTGTGAAGAAACTTTAATTTGATACCGTCCCATTTGCCCATGTTTGTTCCCATCCTCTGGAGTCCTATTCAGAAAACACTTGCCTGTGACTTTAAGTTTCAGAAGTTATCTTATGTTTTTCTGTAGTAGATTTAAAACTCCAGTTCTTATTTTGAGCTCTTCGTTCCTCTTGGAGTTTTTTTTAAGCCCCATTTTCAGTATCCTAAAGTGGATGACCCGTTTTCCCAACACCATTTGTTGGAGAGTCTTTTCTCCGGTGTGTGTCTTTTGACTCCTTTGTCAAATACCAGTTGGCTACAGATCTGTGCTCTTATTAAAAACTTTTACTTTATGAACAAGATGTTTTTCTTTTCCTTTTTTTTGCTGGTCCGGGGGCCTGAACTCAGGGTCTAGCTACCCTGAAGAATTTTCCCCAAGGCTAGGACTCTACCACTTTAGCCACAGCTCTACTTCCTGCTTTTTAGCGGTTAAGATAAGAACCTTACATACTTTCCTAACCGGGCTGGCTTCTAACTGTGACCATCAGATCTCAACTTCCTAAGTAGCGAGGGTTACAGACATGCGCCATTGGTGCCTGGCTTTAAACAAGATCTTAAATCAAATGTACTTGATGTGTGGAAGGACAGACACCTGGTAGAGGCCCCTTCATAAATGCTCACATCCACACATCAGCCAGACCCCTGTGGGGCACTTGATTTTTAAGCACCAAGTAGTCCCAAAGTCTAGCAGAATGGCAACACTAAGTTATTTCAACGTTTTCTTTGTTCTCTTGCCATGAAACAAACCAAGATTAAAACACAAAAAGAGTTGTCAATGGCTTGTGCCTGCAATCCTAATTACTAAGGAGGCTGAGACTGAGGGCTGTGGTTCGAAGCCAGCCCAAAAAGGAAACTACATGAGACTCTTATCTCTAACTACCAAAAAAGCTGGAAGTGGAGCTGTGGCTTGCTTCAAACAGTAGAGCTCATTTAACGGAAATCTTTCATTAACTTAATCTTTCTGTGGTCATAGGTCTTAAATGAGCTTATTACATAATAAAGAAATTAATCTTAAAAAAAAGAAATTTCCTATTTGCATTGTTAGGACACCCCCCCCCCAAAAAAGAAAAACCAAAACAAAACAGTGGAGCTCTATCCTTAAGCACAAAAGCTCAGGGCACAAAGCCCATGCCCAGAGCCTAAGCCCCAGGACCAGCACGCACACACACGCGCACGCACACACGCGCACGCACACACACACACAGCAAAACCATACAGGCTTACAGACAGTTTGTGCTGTTTGCAATTTATGAATAAATAGAAAACTCAAGTTGTACTCCCAGCTTATTGTGCTTGTGATCAAATCTACAAAGCTAATTTCAAGATGAGAAATGACTTGTTTTGACAAATAATGTTCGGCTGAAAGCAAACTGACAATGTTGAGTTCATTACAAGAAACAGCCCTAGAGACTGTGTCTATACTTTGACTTGTTATCCTAGAGAAAAGCATGCCTATTTGTGTGACTATGCTCCAAAAATGCTGCTGAACATTTCAAGGCTTTTAGGACCCAGCTCAAATGTGGTCAGGCTTCACACTGAACCTAAACCTCTAACAGAGGATGGAGTTTCACCAAATGTTACCTGATAACATACAATTACCTGCTCTCAACAGTATAAACTCTAAGGCAGTATTACTGAAAACTTACGTGTGGTTGTCTATTATGCTCTTACCAAATACTATGTTTTTTAAATGATGTCGATGACACTCTGTGCCAGATCTGTGAAGGAAACTCAAAACTGCCAGAACTACTCAGTCAGGTGAGTCTGTCCTTCATTCCAGTCACTGCTGCCAGTGTCTTTGGCATGAGCAAGGGATGCACTGCACATCACTTCTCCTTCACTTCCTCACAGATCCAAAGTTCACATGACAGCACTGACTGCCCATCAGCTGATTAAAAAAAATACAAAAAACAAACAAAAAAACCCAGGAGGGGCTGAGGATTTAGCTCAGTGGAAGAGAACTTGCCTGGCAAGTACAAGGATTTAAGCTCAGACCTCAGCTCTGAAAACTACAGAAACAAACAACAACAAAAACAACCACAACTACAAAAAGGGAGTCTTACCTGATACTGGTGGCTTATCCCTGTAATCCTAGCTACTTAGGAGGCTGAGATTTGAGGATTGTGGTTCAAAGCCATGCTGGGCAGGAAAATCAGTGAGACTCTTATCTCCAAAAAGCCAGAAGTAAAGACATGACTCAAGTGGTAGAGTGCTAGCCTTAAGCACAAAAGCTGAGGGTCAGCACCCAGGCCCTGAGTTCAAGCTCCAGATCCTGCACACACTAAAACGTCTTACCCTAAGACTTATTTATCAACTATCACCACCTAACTTCCTGTCACAAACAAACCCAAAATGAGTGCCATGAGACACATCTTTCTAACACCATTCTTGGAAGCCCCACAAGTGGCACAGCCACCTCTACACACATACGTATAGTATGTGTATATGTATACATACATCTGTATGTATACATATGTATGTATACATATGTATGTATACATACATCTGTATATGTATACATACATATAACTGAAATAAAACAAAAGATCATTGAGACCATGGAATTCCAGATTGAGTAACCACTCAAGAAGTTTCTGTTCAGGTCCCACAGAAGAGAACGGTAGTAAACCTAATGTTACATTTGGCGTTATTATTTTATACATTTGTCTTTTAGAACAGATACTCAAGGAAAACAAGTTCTGCCCGACATAGTGGCACATGTCTGTAACCCTAGCATTCAGAAGGCGGCAGTAACAGGGTCACAAGTTAGAGGCCAGCCTGGGACACCCAGAGAACTCCAGGTCACCCTGCAACTGTCTGTCTCCAAAATAATACTAACAACAGATAAAAACAAGATTGCATAAAAAGCTTAGATTCTTTAAAAGAAGAAAAATTGAAGTACAGATGCATCAAGTTTCTAATTTATGGAAAGCTGGTCTTGCAGAGTTTTCTTGCTCTATACCATGCTTTACCCTACAGTATAGCCTACCACTGGCTCAGCAGATACCATGAAGGCCAACACCCCTGCAAAACCAAACACATACCTACTCTAACTAGCAGAATTGGCAAAGATCTAAAGTATCATGAAACCATAGAGAAATGTCTAACAGGAGCAAGGTACAGGAGAAACTTGTCTTGGAGCTGCAACCCACATCTACAAATGACTATAAAGTAAGATGCACTACCAAGAAGCTAAAAGAACTCTGAAAGGTCTCAGAAAAGTATATAATATATGGGAAATTAGAAAGCTTCTTGAGACATACATAAATGTGCTAGGCCATATACTTGTTAGGGCATCAGCAAGTATGTAGACATCTGTCACAAATCATTAGCTAATATAAAAAAGATCTTTAAAAGTAGCTTCAAATCTACATGCAACAGAGCAAACTTGTTTTAAAGTTATCACGGAGAAGCTGGGCACTGGTGGCTGAGGCCTTTAATCCTAGCTACTCAGGAGGCTGAGATCTGAGGATTGCGGTTCAAAGCCAGCCCCGGCAGAAAAGTCCGTGAGACTGTTATCTCCAATAAACCACCAGAAAACCGCAAGTGGTGCTGTGGCTCAAGCAGTAGAGTGCTCGCCTTGAGCTGAAGAGCTTAGGGATAGTGCCCAGGCCCAGAGTTCAAGCCTCACGACCAACAAAAAAAAAAGAAAAAAAAGGAAGTTACCACGTAGGTGCTTACACCAAAAAAAATTATCTCAGTAAATCAAAGTCCCAAATCAGTCTCCGCTTAGGGTTACATAATTATAAAGCATAATTCAGCGGTCACCATTCTCAATAAAAGTGAATAAAGGTACATATTTCCACTTCACTGTAGGCTCTGAGGACACACATTCACTCCTTACTTGGTGCCTTTACCTGTTCCCCAGGTATGCGCTCCATATCCACACATGCTGTCTTTAGTTCTAATAGCTCTAGAGAAATGAAGAGCGTTCCTTTGAGCTACAAGTGATGCTCTAGTCAATTTCTACATCAGAAAACGTTGTCCCAGGACCAGCCTCTCACAGAGTACTAGCATGCTGATATGAATTTGGCTCTATATTCATACATAATTCATGTATTACTGAAACGTATGTGGAAAACAACATCTGTAAAGTGACTTACATTTTATCACTCCCACCGTGTCTTTCACAATCTCGTTTGCCTCTCTGGTCAAATGCATCAAAAGCTCTGTTCCCGGGACCGCCTCTGCCTCTGCTTCTCATGCCCCCTCTGGGGCCTCCACGTCCTCTCAGTGGCCGGTCTCGATCAAACCTGTCCACTGGTCTAGGAAAAGGTGACAATGCAATATGATAAGAGAACCCAAGCCTCTGCCCGTGTTCTGCCTCATCCAGGCTCCTGGATGGTGTGGTAGACCACCAGGAAGGCTCTGGTGTGTAATCACCTGCCCACTTTCCCTTCTGCCCATCCTCCTGCTTTCTGAGACCTACTTTTTTCTACTAGACTATAATCTCCTAAGATGTAGTTCTAAAGGACTACATCTTTTAAATCATTTTAGCCCTTGTTTATTAACATGTTTTTAATTTGTAAAGGCTTTTCAAAACATTTGCCACAACAGCAAATTACTTTATTTAAAGAGATTCTGGCCAGGTGCCAGTGGCTCATGCTTGTGATCCTAGCTACTCAGGAGGCTGAGATCTAAGGGTCACAGTTCAAAGCCAGCCCAGGCAGGAAAGTCTATGAGACTCTTATCTCCAATGAGCCACCAGAAAACTGGAAGTAGAGCTGTGACTGACTCAAAATGGTAGAGCACTAGCCTTGAGCAAAGAAGCTCTCAGGGAGTGCCCAAACTCTGAGTTCAAGACCCATGACTGACCAAAACAAAAAGGGATCCTGAAATCAAGAAATCTGGAGCATTAATAGCTTCAATACTTGCACCATGGCTAAGAAAAGCCATTCTTACCATAAAAAGACCCCATTTACAATTTTCTTTCCTTGAGAAGAAATGCCAAAGTACTGATGATTAATTTTATGTGTTTTTCATATAAAATACTGTGCTAAACAAATTCTCTAAGTTGGCTTTTCTACCTTCTAACAAAACCCAAACCAATTTTAAAACAGGAATCCTTTTTTCTGATTTAAATTTCTATCCTTTCCTAATTTTATTAGCATTTAATGTAATTTTGAGAATTTGTTGTTGTTGTTGTTGTTGGTTGTGGAGCTTGAACTCTGGGTCTGGGCATTGTCCCTGCGCTCTTCAGCTCAAAGCTCAAGGCAAGCGCTGCTTGAGCCACAGAGCTACTTCTGGTTTTCTAGTGGTTTATTGGAGATAAGAGTCTCACAGACTTTCCTGCCCAGGCTGGCTTTGAACCGAGATCCTCAGATCTCAGCCTCCTGAGTAGCTAGGATTACAGGCGTGAGCCACCAGCGCCCAGCTAGAGAAATTATTTTTAACCTAACAAAATTCCTTACATAAACTGCACTAAACACAGAACTACAGAAAGAAACCCTGGGTTCAACTCCTCAGTACCACATACACAGAAAAAGCTGGAAGTGGCACTGTGGCTCAAGTGGTAGAGTGCTAACCTTCAGAACCAAGAGGCTCAGGGACACTGCCCAGATCCTGAGTTCAAGCTCCAGAACCAGCAAAAAAAAAAAAAAAAGAAATATGGAAAGAATCATACCACATTATGAATTGTTAGAATATAGTCCAAAGGGTAATAATTTTTAAAATAATTTTTATTAAGATTAAGTGATTACATAAAATTCACAAATTTCACAGTATTGTGGGATAGTGATACTTAAAGTCACAAACACATTTTAACAGTCACAAGGCAAATTGTCATTACCATGGTCTATAAAGTTTGTGAATTCTATAAGCTTTGACAATACAACTATTTCTTCTACATTTGGTGATATGTACATTTCTTTCCTTTTGCTTAGTGTATATAAGCTGTTCCCTCTTTCCCTCTCCTTCCCTCCCTCCCATCGCTGCCCTTGAGTTGCTTAGTTTGTTTTCATCAATGTCAGGTGCAGCTGATGGGCCCCTCTGTTGTATATTTTCCTGTTTCCCTCTGATTCTGTGTCCTCCTCCTAACTTCCCTCAGATGTGCGTATAGATGTATATGTGTATACACACATACGTACACACACATACATACATACCATATATAAGGTCAAGAACATGGAGTCATTTAGAAATGATATGAAAAATTAAGTAGATGTTCTTTGTTTCTTGAGCCCTGTTTACTTTGTCACATCTCCTTGCATTATGGATTTAACATCCACATACTGGAGCCATGTGCCATTTGTCTCTGATCTTGGCTTACCTCGCTCAAAATGATTTGTTCTAGTTCTATCCATTTCCCTGTGAATGCCATTATTTTGTCCTTTCTAATGGCTGCATAATATTCCATTGTGTATAGATACAATTTTTGGATCCATTCATCTGTGGTGGGACATCTGGGTTGTTCCCATACCTTGGCTATTGTGAACAGTGCTGCAATAAACATGGAGGTGCATATGTCATTGTATACTGGTTCCTGTTGTTCAGGATAGATGCCTAGGAGTGGTGTGGCTGGGTCATAAGGGAGGTCAATATCTAGCTTTCTGAGGACCCTCCAGACTGCTTTCCAAAGAGGTTGTATAAGTGTACATTCCCACCAGCAGTGTAATAGGGTTCCTCTTTATCCGTATCCCCTCCAGCATTTGTCGTTGGCTGACTTGGAAGATGTGGGACATTCTGACTGGGGTAAGGTGGTATTTCAGGGTTGTCTTTATTTGCATTTCCTTCACAACCAGGGATGGTGAACATTTCCTCATGTGTTTCTTTGTCATTTTTATCTCTTCTTCTGAGAAGTCTCTCTTTAGTTCCCTTGCCCATTTAGTAATTGGTTTGTTAGGTTTTGGAGGGATTAGTTTCTTGAGTTCCCTGTATATACTGGATATTAACCCCTTGTCTGATATATTTTTTCCCAATTAGTTGGTTGTCTTTCTAGCTTGGTTGCTATAGCTTTAGCTGTGCAGAAACTTTTTATTTTAAGGCAGTCCCATTTGTTCTGTCTCTGTCCAATTTGTTGTGACCCTGGAACTCTGTTCAGGAAGTTCCTGCCTGTTCCTATATAGTTCAAGTGTCTCTCCTACTCTGTCCTGCAGTAGTTTCAGAGATTAAGGTTTGATCTTCAGGTCTTTAATCCATCTTGAATTGATGTTAGTGCATGATGACAGGCTGGGGTCCACTTTTAGTTTTCTGCATGTGGCCACCCAGTTTTCCCAGCACCAGTAGTTGAAGAAGCTATGATTCTTCCACTGTATGTCTTTGACTCCTTTGTCAAATATCAGCTAACTCTATGTATGCAGCTTTATTTCTGGATCTTCTAATCTGTTCCATTGGTCTTTGGGTCTGTTTTTGTGCCAACACTGAGCTGTCTTTGTTATTATGGCTTGAAATCTGGTATCCTGATGCCCCCTGCATCGTTTCTTTTGCCTATAATTGCTTTGGCTTTTCTAGGTCTTTTGTAAAACACAAATCTTAAAAAAAAAAGTCTACCCAAAATTCGAACAGTAAACACATACATGGAAAGTAACATCAATGAAAATCAGTCCTATATTTATAGAAATCTAGATCAAATAACAACAAAATACCAAAGTCTTCTCAAATATATTAATGATAGAAACCAAGCCTAAAAACATCCGTGTTCTGATATACTATAATCCTTGAAAACAGTCTCTATATACCTTTTCCTATTTCCTTTGTTTTGTTTAGTTTAGTTTTGTTTTTTTGAAACGTGGTCTTCCTGTCTAACCCAGGCAATGAACTTGAAATTATCCTCCTTCAGATTCATAATTACTAGGACATCAGGTGTGAACCACCACACCAGGTCTTCTGAATTTTAAAACTTGATGAAAATTAAGTAATCTTGTACTCAAGAAGTTTAATAGTTGACAAACTCAAACACAGAAGGCAGAGAAATATCATATGGATCAAGAATCCTGAGCTGGGCACCAGTGGCTCAGGCCTGTAATCCTAGCTACTCAGGAGGCTGAGATTTGAGAATTATGGTTCAAAGCCAGCATGGGCAGGAAAGTCTGTGAGACCCTTATCTTCAATTAACCACCAGAAAACCAGAGGTGGTGCTGTTGCTCAATGTAGTAGAGCACTAGCCTTGAGCTTTTAGCTCAAGGACAGCTGTGCCCAAGGCCCAAGACCAGGAGAAAAAAAAAAAAAAAGTAAGACTTCCCTACATATTTCTCACATGACCCATTGAGAGGACACCACTTCCAGTGCTCCTACAAAAAGTATATGGCAGTGTTCCTCCAGAAAAAAAATCAGACAAACACAAACATGGTGTGTGCTACAAAAATAACTTGGTCTACACTCTATTCTAGATTAAAGAAGGTAGAGCAAATTAGATAATTTAAAGAATTAGATAACAGTGCTGTATCAATATTAATGAGTTTAATAATTGTGTCATGGTTTTTGGCAAATACATAAAGCATTTAGGGATGAAGGAACACTCACACATCTTATTTTCAAATGACAAAGAAAAAGTATGTGTTTAGAAAGGGAGAGAATGATAAAGCAAATATGTTAAGAAGTTGATATTTAGGGAATACAAGATGAAGGGTATAAGAGAACATTTTATATAATTCTTGCAATGTTTTTAGAAATCAAATTATTTTAAAAGAAAAAAGAAAAAGTCACTCCATTGTCTCATATCCCTGTGCCCCTACATTACATATGTATTTCACTTCACAGATTTTCATGTCACAAAAATCTATCTTTTTCAAGGCTACCATACTTATTATTTTAAAAAAAGAAAAGGTAGCTGGGTGGGGTTGGGAGATGGGGAAATGATGAAGGGGGGACAGTGATCAGGATGCATTGAATTCAAAAGCTGACGTACGTGTTCAATTATACTTTTTAAAGTTCCGTACTTTTTAAAAATGATGGCAACATGGGTTTCTGCCTTTGAACAAAAATTTCATTTTTTCCATAAAGTAAAAGTCTGAATAGAGAAAAATACATAAGCCTTTCAAAAATTTAGTTCTGATCCAAGAGGCTTTTTATATATGAGTGGCCATTATGGAGAAAATTTGAAATAATCCCCCCAAAATAAAATAAAGTAAGCTTTTCCAGAACTTTCTCCAACTTGTGGCAGATCCACCAGGTTGTGGATTGCTGTTTTATGTGTCCCTTCTAGTTGGTGACCACATGCACACCCCTTCAGATGAGCTGCTCTCTGCTACAGGTGCTTTATTTACTTATTTCTAATCCACTCTAACAGGAGTGAGGCACACTTGACCCATGGGCCATATAAGACCTGAAAAATCATTTGGTACATGACAGGCTATAAATATCCAAATGGCCCTTGGCAGAAAAAGGTTCCTCACTCCAGCCTTACAAAGCCATGTTCTTTGGCTAAGACATTGTTTAGGACAAGGTCCTAAATGAATTTGGTAGTCAGGAAGTCAAAACACTTTGAGAACCTTGACTCGCTGGACAGAGAACTATCTTGCTACCAGGAGGCGTAAGATAACGAATAGCTACCTTGGTAGAAGGCTCTGCTCTGACGCAGGAGAGATGGCAGACTGCACCAGCCCTAGGCCACACTTCACACCAGACAACTTTCCAGAGATTGGTACCATCCATCACAGTAGACTTTTCTTCACATGACTCATGAAAGCCACTTAGCTGATCATAGAATTAAGAATCTGTTTTAATCTGTTTAAGAGTCTGAATTCATAATGCTAAATCAAAACCCTAATTATATCCCTTCTAAAATTAGCTCCTTAGTCTAAAACTCAGAGTAAATTTTTAAAGAATCCCATACACTCATCTGTTTTGGTTTGGTTTGGTTTTCCTGTACTGGGGCTTGAGTTAAGGGTTGTATGCTTGCTACAAAGGCACTCTACTTGAACCGCGCCTCCAGCCCCTTTGATTATTTACTTGTTTATTTTTCTGGTGTCAGTGCTTCCGCTCAGGACCTTGAGCATTTACTTACCTTGTTTTGCTCACAGCTGCTGTTCTATTAGGGCACACCTTTAGTCTGGCTAATTGGAGAAAAAATATTATGGATTTTCCTGCCTGGGCTGATTTCAAACTGTGATCCTCAGATCTCAGCCTTCAGGGTAGCTAGTATTACAGATATGAGCCACTAGCGTCCAGCTATTTTGTTACTTTTATATTCTTGCTTTTGCTTAGGGCAGCCTGGACCCCATATTTATGCTTCCCACATAGCTGACAGGCATGTACCACCACACCCAGCTTTTTATTAGCTAAAGTGGTGTCTTGCAAAACAGCTATGTTACCTAGTGTGAAACACTGCACTGAGTTCTTTTCATAGTTACAAAAAAATTTTTTTCCTTTGCAGTGGTACTAAACATTGATCCTAGGGCATTGTACATTCTAAAGTGCTCTACCAATGTTCTACTGATAAAGTACCTTCCAAGCTGACAGTTAGTTTATTATTTATTTATTTTTGTTGGTCATGGGGCTTAAACTCTGGGCCTGGGCGCTGTCCCTCAGCTCTTCAGCTTAAGGCTAGTGCTCTACCACTTAAGCCATAGAATTACTTCCTGTTTTCTGGTAGTTAATTGGAGATAAGAGTCTCAAGGGCTTTCCTGCGCTGGCTTTGAGCCGTGATCCTCAGATCTCAGCCTCCAGAGTAGCTAGGATTACAGGTGTGAGCCACCTGTGCCCAGCTCCACAATTTAGTTTTAATTATACAACTGGTCCTGAATCTTAATATAAGGCCATCTCTGAAATACATGAAGATCTTTCAGGTGTCATCTAAGATAACAATGACTTGTTGCATACACTAGCAAAATATTCCTGAGACCTATAATATGGAAAGGTCACAAAGGCTTATGGCTGTTCTGGACAGTCGTCTGGTCCCCAAGCCTCCCATTGAGGACTGTGGTACATACTTTTCATCTGAAAACTTCTCAGCTGTAAAGTCCGCCTGCCTCTCGGTCTCATAGGGTCGGTATTCCCTGTAGGCTCTCCGCTCTGCTCTATCAAGTATCACCTCTGTTCCCCGGCTGTCATTCCATCCTTGTTGCTCCCCTCTTCTAGGAGTCCGCTTCTGGCCTGCCAGCAGAAAACCAAAGCAGAGGGATAAAACACAACGTCCATGACAGCACTAGGTACAATGCTATAGCTTCCTTAAGATTTCATTTTTCTCCAGAACAGCTGGAAAACCACTGGAAAAGCTTGGGAATTTCAGGGGGGAAAAGTTGCTGATGCTATTTCCTAGACTTTATTCATTTTTAATAAAACCTTATTACTATTATGACTTCACTTATGTCTTAGTATAAGATAAACCATATAATTATAGGTATCTTTTTCTTTCTTTTTGTTGTTGCTGCTGTGCTTTGAAATAAGGTCATTACATATGTTTGAGACTAGCCTGGAACTCACAATCCTTCTTTATCAAGACTCCTGTTAAGATTATAGGCATGGGGAGCTGGGAAGGTGGCTCAGTGGTAGAGCGCTTGCCTTGCATGCATGAGGCCCTGGGTTCGATTCCTCAGCACCACATAAGCAAAAAGAAAAAAGCCGGAAGTGGTGCTGTGGCTCAAGTGGTAGAGTGCTAGCCTTGAGCTGAAGAGCTGAGGGACAGGGCACAGGCCCAGAGTTCAGGCCCATGACCGGACCCCCCCCCCAAAAAAAAGATTATAGGCATGTAGCACACCTGGTTAATTATATGTGACCTCTATTAACACATTTTAATAAATTAACTACATTTCACATTTCAAAAGCAGCTTTATGAAACCCTGGTTCTAAACCTCATCCAGAAAAGTAGATACATACCAGTACATTAGATTGTACTTTAAAGTACATATTTCCTGCTCTTTGGTGGGATTTATCTATTTGCCATATGTCTCTAGTGTGGGCCTCAACTCAGTTTCCAACTCACTCAAGAAGGCATCTTTTTTGTCCATTTGAGAATCCAGCATCCAGGGGAAGCAAGGACAAAGTGCTAGCCCTCTCTAGTCTTTTCTCTTCTGATGCATTAGAATGTTCAATCAAATCCTATATTTGAAGCCATCTAATAAGTTAGTAAATAAGTTATGAACTTTGTCATTTCTTAAACTGTCTTCCAAAATTGTCTCCCCCCCCCACATTTAAAAGTTCTCCTCAAATATTACTTATAACTTTGATTTTCCTTAGGAGTAATTACTCCACGTTGACAGTACAGATAGAAAATCTTAAAATTTATTCAAATAATGGGTGTACATCTCACTGAATTCCTCTCATGTATCCACATTAAAAATACAGGCATAGGGTTGGGAATGTGGCTTAGGGGTTGCCTAGCATACATGATGCCCTGCACCACATACACAGAAAAAGCCAGAAGTGCCGCTGTGGCTCAAGTGGTAGAGTGCTAGCCATGAGCAAAAGCAACTCAGGGACAGTGCCCAGACCCTAAGTTCAAGCCCCAGGACTGGCAAAAACATTAAAAAATAAAAAAAACAGGCATTTTTTCATTTTTCTCATTAATATTTCCTAACTAAACTTTATAGTCTAACATAAATAAGTACTATCAAGTCTTAAAATAAAAATCCTGTTTGTACATCACAAACATAAAATTATGTAATTACCTCTAATATAAAATGTTTTTGAGTGTCAAATATTGCACAAGAGATTCAAGTTCACTCTGATATGGCTTTAATATTCTATAATATCTATAAATATTTAAGTCTAATTTATGTCACTTAATGATATTTTCATAGAGGATTATACTTCTACTGCAGAAACAAAACAATATTAGAAGAGGTATTTGAAATCAGGGGGAAAATGTCACTAAGTACGTTAACAAGTTGAGCCTGGCACTGGTGGCTTACACCTGTAATCTGAGCTACTCAGAAGGTAGAGATCTGAGGATCGTGGTTCAAAGCCAGCCTGGGTGGGAAATCCATGAGGCTCTTATCTCCAATTGACCACCAGAAAAACTGAAATTAGCACTGTGGCTCAAAGTAGTAGAGTGCTTGGCTTGAGCATAAGATCTCAGGGACAAAATCCAAGCCCTGAGTTCAAGCCCCACAACAACAACAACAAAAATTAACAAATTGAAGCTGGGCACTGGTGGCTCATACCTCTAGTCCTAGCTACTTATAAGAATGGGATCTGAGGATCACAGTTTGAAGCCAACCTGGCATAAAAGTTATGTTAGCTCCAAGAAAGCCAGAAGTGGAGCTGTGGCTTCAAGTGGTAGAGCACTAACCATAAACAAAAGAAAAAGCTAAGGGACAGAGCCAGGCCTTGAGTTCAAGCTCTGGAACTAGCACCTACATCAATAAAGTTAACAAACTGAAAAATTAAAAGACTTGCTTCAGATTTTCTATTTGCAACCCATAAGCGTTTGAGTTTTACCATTACAGTATCTCCATTCAACTACAGAATTACTGCAGTGCTTATGCTACCCCATTTTTAACTATATCAATTAAACTTGCTTTATAGTAAAGTCACTTCCATCATTTCTGTATATAAGTTGAAAAGTGCTAAATAGAATTGGCTACTTATTAGGATAATTACAAATATCCTGCAAACATTACATTCTCCCTCTAAATCTCCAAAGACCAAAACTATTAGTGACAGACATCCAGAAATCAGTTGTAAGAGGTCAAGGTTGCAATTGAACCCAGCTTGCTTTTCCATGCTGGATCAGCAGCTTGGAGTAGGTAATGCAAACCTTGCATTTCACCAGCCCTTTCCAACAAAAGGCTGGCATAAGCATTTTGATCACTGAGCTAAACACAAGTCTAGAGAAGAAAAAGAATACAGTAAAATTTCCAGCAAGAGATCCCTTAAAATAGTGGCATTTTGGCTCAGTTTCCTAGGCTCTGAAAGCTGAGGAAAGCAAGCTGAAACAGTCTCTGATGGTTCGAGAATATACTGAGCAAAGGGCCTCTCGGAGGTTTCTGTACAGATTTGGACAGTCTAGTACATTAAAACCTCCATCTCCACGGGGCAAGCTTCTGATTTCCACATTCTGGAGGATTAATCTTTCTGGTGTATGTCAGAAAGCATATTCCCAAATGCTTGACATTTCTCTATGCTAAGCATTCACTCAATCTTCAGACTAAATTTAAAATGAGTATGGAAAAACACAGACCTTCATAACAGGGCTAACAGGAATTTGTGTAGATCTCTAACACTCATTACACATAAATTTAGTACAGTAACAGAAATTCAGTACATAAATGGAAATTGAGGTGCTCGTTGCTATTAAGCACTTGAAAAAGAACTACAATGATATTCTAACTATAAAATTAACTCAAGATTTTTAATTATAGATCTCAAAAGCCAGATTGCCTAGACTTTAAATGGACAGAAAAATTGGTAAGAGCACTAGATTACAATGTCAAGCAGGAAGTAGGCTGCGTCCCAGTTTTATATCTCTTAAGTTTTGAAAAAAAGAAACAGGGCTGGGAAGGTGGCGCAGTGGTAGAGCGCTTGCCTTGCACGCATAAGGCCCTGAGTTCAATTCCTCAGCACCACATAAGCAAAAAGAAAAAAGCCAGAAGTGGCTCTGTGGCTCAAGTGGCAGAGTGCTAGCCTTGAGCTGAAGAGCTGAGGGACAGCACCCAGACCCAGAGTTCAGGCCCCATGACCAGACCCAAAAAAGAAAAAATAAAAAGCAGCAGCACTGCAGCACTGTGCATTGATGAAATTAAATTTGTGCATATAAATTCACAGTGCTGACAGCAGGAAAAATAAAGGGTCTTCGTTCAATGTCATACATGCTTAACATTTCCATCGCAGGGTAGGACTGTAGTTCACTGGTAAAGTCCTCTGGCCTGGCTTGCTTGAGGCCCCAAGTTTGATCCTCAATACTATAAGAAAAAAATGACAAAAATATATTTTTAAACTGAAAAGGGTGAAATTCAGCCAGCTTACTAGCAGTACTAGCTGCAGTGTCACACTCTTCTAAAGGACACAACATTTTCATTTGTCTAAAAAAATGAAGCTAGGCATGAAGTCATGATGGCACACACTTCTAAGCTATGTAGGAAGCATAGGGAGACGGCCACCAGTTCAAACTATTACGGCCAAAAATACATAGAGAAGTAAATAAATGGAGAAGCCTTGCCTCGTTTAATTCTGTATTTATCCAATGTGAGGAAAATGTAAGGTAAAAAGTTCTTTATTTCATTTGTTTAAGTAGGGTCATACACTTGCTGACATACTGAATAGCATTTGGTTTTCAGCATCTTTATTTTACTGACTTCTGATTCTCAAGCAACGAGCTGACTTCACACAGATAAAGGTAGAGTCACGAGTTGCACCAGTCAAGGCACCAGTACTAGAGGATTTTATGACAGGGCTGGAACACACACTTTGTGTGTGTGTCTACGTGTGCGCACGTGTGCGTGCTCAGGACTGGGCACGGTCCTTCTAGACTTCTGGCTCAGGGTTGGCACTCCACCACGTGGTTAACTGGAGGTAAGAGTCTCCTGGACATACCTGCCAGGCTGGCTCCAAATCACCACCTCTGCTCAGCCTCCTAAGGAGCTACGAGCACAGGTGTGAGCCTCGGCTGCCCCGCAGCGGTGCACACCTTTAGATCATCCAGGAACAGGCCAACAAGCTCTGCGAATGATGACAACCACACACCTAACCTCAAAACTCAGAACACGGACAACAGCACACCAAACCTCAGTACCCAGAACAGTACCAACCACACACCTAACTTCAGTACTCAGAACGGTGACAACAGCACCCCTCCCCTCAGTACTCAGAACGGTGACAACAGCACCCCTCCCCTCAGTACTCAGAACGGTGACAACAGCACCCCTCCCCTCAGTACCCAGAACGGTGACAACAGCACCCC